TATTTTTCCAAGTGGATCGAGGCCGAGCCATTAGCCACGATCACTTCTCAACAATGTGTTAGGTTTCTTTGGCGCAATGTCATTTCCCGTTTTGGCGTGCCCGTGCATCTCATCAGCGACAACGGCCACCAGTTTGTAAGCCAATACTTTCAAAAATTTCTTGCCACAATCGGGACAACCTCCATCCGGTCGTCGGTGGCTTACCCCCAGAGAAATGGACAAGTCGAGAATGCCAATCGGACAATCCTGGAAGGTCTGAAGAAGAAGTTGCACTCCGCCGGTCGTAGCTGGGCTGATGAGCTCCCTTATGTTCTCTGGACTTATCGGACGACCCCGAGGGAGGCAACATTGGAGACGTCGTTCGCCCTTGTCTATGGGGCCGAGGCTCGTCTCCCAATCGAGGCATGGATCCCGACCACTAAGGAGAGGTCTTACAACGCTTAGGAGAACGAACACTCCATGGTCGTGGATCTCGACGGACTGGAGGAGAAGAGAGAGCTAGCCGCTCGGCGTATGGCCGAGTACCAGAAGAGAGTGAAGAGCTCGAAAGATGTTCGGGTTAACCCTCGGTATTTCCAAGTTGGAGACTATGTTATACGCCATCGAGAGGCAAGTCAGCCTTTGGAAGGTGGGAAGCTAGCTCAAAATTGGGAGGGTCTGTATATCATCACAGCCGTCGTGCGGCCGGGAACCTACCGGTTGGAGACAACGACCGGGAGATAGATCGAGGGTACGTGGAACTCTGAGAACCTCGTTTTGTTTAGGCATTAATTTATGTAATTTTAGATGGAGTGGGGGCTTCGACCTACGAGTGGGCCCATCCATCATTTCTTGTTTATAAATTGTTAACCGTCTGCGAACGGGAGTTATTAATGTATATACGATCGGTGATTGCTTGACCGTTTGCATACGGCGGCCCGATCGATTTTTTCAAAATTGTTCAAGCATGAAGTAGGTTGTTCTAAATCTGCTTCACCAACCAGTCGTGCTCGGAATCTACCCGATCGAGACTCGACATCAACAGAAGAAGAGGGGCGTTTCGCCCCACACCACACCTCTCCCTCGGTCCCGACCGATAGGGGTGAACAGTTAATTGGCTCTAATAGCCATCTATCTAGTAGGCTCTAATAGCCACCTACCTCTTGGCCGGTCGAAATCCTAACGATCGCCTATAACGCTCATCTTCGGCGGACGATCGGGTCACACCATCGATCGGGGAAAACAGAGCTACATCAAAAACTCCCCGATCCGTCCAACTTCTTTACACTGTCGCACTCACTCGTGCCTTGTGTGCAAAACAGTGTGGGGGCTAGGGTTAAGGAAGTAAATCACAAGGCTAGGCGATCGGAAAAACCCCGAACGAACAGGCCAATCACAAGGCCAGGCGATCGGGAAACCCCCGAACGGATAGGCCAAAAAAAGTTTTTCGAAGTTTTCGAAAGGCCAAAAGGCCATTGGGTCGGGACGTGCACGACCGACGACCGACGTACAACGAACAAAAGTAAATGCATAGAAAATAGCCCGAACAAGACAAGTTTGAAGAAAAACTTAAAATTTTATAAACAGTGCGCCCGGTACAGATCGAGACCGGGCTCCCGAGGGAGTTCACTTACACAAAAACAAAGAAGTAAACCTAACTACTTCTTCGCAGCAGCGTCGCTCGGCTCAGCCACATCCTCCTCAGGACCGAACGGCGACATGCCGGGGTCGGCGACTTCGTCCGGGAGGGTCGTCAAGACCAGCTGGAGATCCTCGCCCTCGAGGGCTTCCTCCATGAATGCTTGGGTCTTCTTCCGCATTTTTCGCTGGCCGGACTTGAACGCCCAGCGCCCGAACGCCCAGATCAGCGCTTCCCTGACCTTGGTCTTCCGGGTCTCCCGGAGGAACTTCGTGCCAGACGCCTCGTCCCGGTAAAGGTGTTGCGCCAAGTCACCAAGGTTGGCCAGTCGGGCCTTGGCTTCTTTTGCCTCCCCGAGAGCCTCTCTCGCGGCTTTCTCGGCCAGATCCTGGGCCCCTTTCGCTTCCCTGGCGGCCTTCTCCACCGCTTCCCGACCTTCCTTGGCTTTCTTCAGTTCAGCCTGGAGCTCGGTAATCTCCCCCTGTCGCCGCTCGACAACCTTCTTCAGGGCATCGGCCTCGTTGGCCAGCAATGCTCGAAGCTGGAAGAGCTGGGTCGCTCGGGATATCTGCAAAACAAAAGGCGATCGGGATTAGCCCGAGCAAAGTCACTTGTATGAAAATAAGAAGACAAAAGTTTTACCTCGGCCAGATCGAGGCCAATATTCTCAGCCACCTGGGTCGGGCTGAGCTTGGTCATATCCTCCCTGACCGGCCCGGAATTGCCGATCCGGGTGAGGATAGATGCATCACCCGCAATAGCCCTGACTGGGGGGGCTCGGGCTCGGACTGCGCTGGTCCCTCCGGCGCTTCAGTGCCCCAGTATCTTCAGGCCCCTTCTCGGACGCCTTTTTCTTGCCCTTCCGAGCAGCCACCCGAGAGACCAGGACGTCGGAATTCTCGACCACAAAGCCTTCGGCTGTGGTGACGGTTGTAGATGCGCCAATGGGCCGGGCGGTCGGGATTTGTTTTTCCCCGGCTGACTTAGCCTTGGTCTTCTTTTTCCCGAGCACGATTTTGGCTCGGGGGGCTCGAGGTGCCTCATCTTCTTCGAAGCCCGCCATTTCTGCAAAAAAAAAAAAAAAAATGGTTAGACCGAGGTCGGAAAGAGATCGGGGAGTTAGGGTCGGGGACGATCAGTAAGTGTTAGACCTTCGTTCGTCGTCACAACCCGAGGAGCCGCCCTCACAATCGTCACGCCCGTTGGCACAGGCACGTACTTCTCCTCGAGATCGTATCGTGGCGGTGGCAGTCGGGCCACATCATAGCATTCCCTCGAGCAGAAGATCTTGTATTCATGGACCTCACTCGAGATCTTGGAGACGGCATCCTGTAGGGCCTTCGTCTCGACCGACACCACTTGCTTCCGGTAATGAGTGCTCCACGTCCTCTCGACCGGAAGGATCCATGGGTTATACTCGACCGAGAAGATTCTGTTCTTCCAACCTTTGTTGTTCCCAGGCAGGTGGTCGATAGCGCACATGTCCGCCCGGGACTGGATCATCAGAAACCCACCTCCATACTTGGCCGGTAGGGTCTTCACCTGGTAGATGAAGTTGAACAACTCCATCGTGCACGTCACTTCGTGCCGAGCGCAAATTTGCGGAAAGCACGCTAAAATCCTATGCGCGTTCGGGCAGATCTGGGCCGGGACCACTCGGTAGTAACCCAGAAATGCGGTCAATAGAGCAGAGAAGGGGATCTAGATCGGTGCTAGGAGCGAGTCGAAGTGCATCTCGATCCACTTGCCTTCGTGGCGATCGATGATGTTCCCCAGGCTCCGACGGGTGTCGAAACGAGCCCGACCGGCGAGTATGGCAGAGATCTTCGACGCTTCTCCCTTCGTTAACAAACTTTCTTGTTGTGCGACGCTCTCGCTGTTTAGGAAGACAAACTCCCCATCGGCTGGTGCGGGCGGGGCAGCTGGGTCTTCCTCGACCAGGTGAAGACCCTACCCTCCTGTGTGGCCTCCCGATCGTCAGTCGGGGGTGCTGCCTGAGGGTAACCCCCAATTACCCGGGTTGGCGTTTCCCGAGCAGCTTCGGTCGAGGAGCGTCGTTCGCTCGTTGTAGTCTCGCTCCCGCTGCTCGATCCGGTCGAGCTAGACGACCTTTGTCGCTCGAAGGCTCTCTGTGGTCGTTGAACGACCTCTGGTGAAGATGCTTCGATGTCGATCTCTTCGCTGAGCTGCTCGACTGCGTCGTCGTAATCCGCGCCCGAGACATTCTGGCTGTCTGTATCCGACATGCTGTCTTCCTAAAGGGTGGTCGGGACGCTGTTAGGGTCGGATACGACCCGGTCGTGGTCAGTTAAGGCCCGTAGTCGGCCATTGCTAGATAACGAAAAGCGAAAAAATAAAGGCTGAAGGAAAGAGAACTTACCGAGTGGTTGCAGTTAAGCTGAAAGTCTGGAAATTCTGGTTGCTCGACCGACTCTTGCAGTTGCTCGCTCGGGATGCTCCGATCGACTGAGAGGGTTGGTAGAAGTTCAAATAAATCTCAGAAGGGCTTATTTATAGGACAACTTTTGGGCGGGAAACGGCCCACTTGTGCGAGGTGACCGTTGCGGACTCCGAGGCGCGTAGAAGCTGACACGTGGCACGACAGAATGACAGTTGTCCGGTCGGGTTGGCGGCGGACGTTTGGACTTCTTCATCCTGTCCCGTTTTTTCCCGGGCGGTTAAAAAGGCCCGGGCTAGGGGGCTCTTGGTAGGGAATACCTCGACCGACATGCCACGTGTTTTATTCTTGTTTATGCAGGTTATAGGTCGGATATTCTTGGAAGAACCCGGTCGTACCCGACCGGCGTCTTCCGTTCCCGATCGATAGCCCTTAGACGAGAGAGTCGAGAAGAGGCACGTGGCAGTGTTAGGCGCTGACAGGCAGGGCTCGCGGGGTGAAGACACGTGGTTGCTACGTGGGCTACATGCCGGCCAGCCGAAGCTGTGTCTCCGGCCTAGCGGCTATAAATACCTACGGCGGCAACAGTGTGAGGGACTTTTGGAACGATCGATAGGCTATTTACAGAGCATCCCGACCGCAGTCAGTCGGCCATCGGAATAGCCACTTAGATTGTAGTAGGTACTCGATCAATAAAAGATTTATTTGCTTTATTTGGTCTTGTTATTACTTTGACCGCTCTACGTGGAATTAGTACTATCAGAATGTATAAAAGTATAATTGCATAATATTAGTATAATTATCTAATAATTATTATGGTAATTAAAAGATTAATTGCAAAAATTATTAATATAATTGATTAATTATTATTATGTTAATTAAACTAATAATTACAAGTATATTAGTACAATTTAATAATTACAATTAAACATGGATCGAATTTTTTATATATAATAATTACAATTAATTCATTCATATATAGAGGAGGATGGAAAAAAGTAAAGGTGATATGGTGAAAAGGAATATACTTAAAGTATAAAAGTATAATTGCGCATATATTAATATAATTGACTAGTAATTATTATGATAATTAAGCTAAATATGGATCATTAGATTTATTTTTATAATAATTATAATTAAATTATTTATTTTTTTTTCTCCTATTTATTTTAGTAATAATATAATCATTACATAAATCATATTACATATTGAATTTTTAAGATAATTACAGACAAACGAATCATATATTATTCACTTAAGGAATAAGGGTCAAATAGGCCACTGAACTGCACACAAGAATGCAATTAGGCCACTGAACCTAAAAAATCTACAATTGGGTCCCTAAACTAACCAATTTCATTCAATTTTTCCATTTTTCAGGTTTCTCAAGTTGCTAACAAGTTACCCCTCCACCTAGGATGCATATGTGGCATTTAAAAAAAATTAAATTAGTTTTTTTTTTTTTGAAAACCTTAAATTAGTTTTTTTAATGTTTGAAAAATGAACAAATTGAATGAAATTTGTTAGTTTAGGGACTCAATTGTAGATTTTTTAAGTTCAATGACCTAATTGCATTTTCGTGTGTAATTCAGTGGCCTATTTGACCCTTATTCCTTCACTTAATTGAGTTATGGGTGTTACCGCAAGTTATGATTTTTATTATATAGAAGAATAGAAAGAAAAATCGAAGAAGGATAGAAGGATGTGAAGAGTAAAATGGTAACTTTTTTTTTTTTTGAATGCAGTAAAATGGTAACTTAATTGTCATAAAATTTTAAGAAATCGAGTTGAGAGTCCAATTTCAACAATGACGATGGTGTAAAATGAAAAGTTTAACAAAATTTAACCTAACCCTAATCCTAACCAGGGACGGAGCCTGGCATGGGGAGCTGCTCACACGGTAAAAAACTATACAGCCCCAAAACGACGTCGTTTTGGGGTATATATTTAATATTTTTTATTCATTTCTTCTTGTTTCTTCCTACGCGGCTAAGCCTTTACCAATTACCATTTCGCCTCTTGCCCTCTTCGCGACTACCACTACCGCATTGCGCATACCGGCAGATCGCAGTCCGCAGATACCAATCGCCAAGGGAAGAGTTGCTGCTACCAATCGCCAAGACCGCAGGGCGCAGACGACGACGGCGAGCATTCTCAGGCGCTCACAGTATGGTCCACTTCCGCAAATAGTTGCTTTTTATCCTTTGTTTTGAATTCCATTGACCAATTGATTCATATCTGCTCAACTGCTCTGTCTCTTTAAACCTAATTCATTGCCTGATTGCTTCTTAATTTCTTATTCATCTGGAAGACTGGAATTTTGGATAAAAGAGAAAAACCTAAAAATCTAAAATTTAGTTCATTGCACTTTGGATTGGGTTGCATTTGATTATTTGAAGTTGCATTTTATAATTTATTGCTTCCTATAGATAATAGATGAAAATGAATTTGAGATGATTTTGCATAGTTTGCTTAGGAATTGGGAATTGAGGCTGTGTTGCCACTTGCCAGTGAGCCAGTGACGTTCTGAGTGGTCTGAGGGATTGCTTAGTTTGCTTAGGAATTGAGAATTGGGGCTGTGTTGCCTTACTTTGCTAGAATGCTAGTTTGCTTAGACTCTTGCTAGTTAACAGTTAATGTTTGCCTATGATTTGCTCTAATTCATATTCATTAGCTCTATGTTTACACTTTACTTGAAATACACTACAAAATGCTCTATGTTTACTTGTTTAGATAATTAGATTATATATATTTTTTGTTCAGTTATGGAAAAATTCTTTAAAAGAAAAGCAACTTTTGAGGATTCATCTAGTAAGGTAAGGTAGTCGCGAAGTGTCAAGTACAAGGCCTCGTATTTGAACATTTTTAATTTATTTTATCTTTGCTTTTTCACCCCCACTCTAACAAATTTATGGCTCCGTCTCTGATTGATTGTTTAGAAATTAAGCTTGTCACCTTTGATTCTCAATACCATAGTGAACCTTAATAAGTGAAACAAGCTTGGACACTATGTTCAAACCTTAAATTCACCCTTGTTCATTCGAGTTCAGCCCATTTTACACCCGTAAATGCAATCACATTTCACCATTAAACCAGATCTCAGAGCTCTTATTCTTTCCCGTAGTTCTACTTCTTGCTTGAGTGCATGTCTAATTTTATTGAACTTAATTTCATTGCATATTTGCATTTCTTTTTCTCAGGTATTCTGATAATCTTATATCGTCTTTTACATTTTCAGTTGGAACTTGGGAGGAATGGGCCGAAAACCTGGCACCTTGTATGTAAACCCAAAAAAGTTTGGGAGCCTTCAAAAGCCATGTGCGAAGGAAATGATTACATTTCTCAGTTGTCTGGCGCTGAATCAGAACAAAGATGATAAATGCAGTCGACAAAAATCACTTTTAAGTACCTGCATGGAGGCTCAGGTAATGAGAATTGCATTTGGGAGAGGATAATAGCGTGTAATTCGGTCTATCTATTATTAGTTTAAGATTCTTAGCACTATGAGAAGTTTTTAAATATATGTACAAAAATTTCGCTTAACCAATATTGCAATGTTGCTCCTTCCTCTGCAGAGTGGCAAAAACCGAAAGTCTTGGGGGAGTGTCAATTATCACCTCCAGAAGCTCAACCGGGGAAAGAAATAGTTCCTATTTGTTCTATTGGATTTTACGTGCTCTATTTGACCAGAGTATGATATGAGACAGTAGGTATGTTTGCAAAGAAGTTGCTGAGCTTAGTACCTTTTTATTCTGAATTATGACAAAATATGAATCTTATTCTCGTAACATTAATGTATTCAATAAAATCCTTCCCAAATTGCTGCCATGTATGCTTGTTTTGTTTTAGTAGGTTTGCAGGCAACATATCACTGAAAACTTGAAATGCTTTTTTCAATAGTTATACTGAATGTTGTTCACAATTGTGATATTCAATATATAAATTGTGAACATTCAGTATGTAAATTGTGTGTTTTTCCACCTTACAGTAGTTGCCTTTCATCATATTTTTCCTATCAATACAGTTTTTTTGTGTCTCTATTATGATAACCTTGTAGATGTATGACTTATCCTGCAACTAAATTTGTGGAGAGTTGATGGTTGTTACAACATAAAATACTCACTCCACTTCAGACAGGGATTGATGCATATTTGCAGGTGTCAATTCTTGTAATTTCAAGCAATTTGTTTACTTTCAACCGCCACTATCCAACGTCTTCTCTTCATTCTTTAAAAGAAAAGGTTCAAATTAGCTCCCGAATTACATCTGAAAATGCAATTAGCCTAACTCGATTACTTTCACAACTTATTTACTTGCTTATAAAAAACGAGACTAAGAGCTTGCTACCCTAACTAATGTATAGACGATCAGGTTCCTTGATATCTTAATATTAATATGCTGACCAGAAAAAAAAAAAAATCAAAGCAAGCCATAATATTGTAACAATTATCAATGATAGCGCTGACCAGAAAAAAAAATCAAAGCAAGCCATAATATTGTAATAATTATCAATGATAGCGCTAGTGTAGGAACGATCATTGAGATTGTGAGACAAAGCTGAGATAGCTTTAGCAGATTCCAAAGAAATAGGTGTGAGGTCAAGATTCTTGATCAACAGCTCCTTAATCTCCATCATTTGAGAGCAAGACCGCACCCAAGGATGATTCAAAACCACTTGACAAATAAGATTATTTGGACCAGAAATTCACGGTTCATTGTGGCGTCTGGCCTGGAACATCTTGCCACCATCAACATTTCATGCATTTAGATGAGCATTAATGTCAGCCAAAGCTACTGGTTTCCCATTCCAAAGTTGTTGGTTCCGAGTGTGCCAATACCTTTGTAGTCAGTGACACGAAGTGACTTTTTCATATGGTGAAAAAAGTAATTATGAACAGATATTGCATTGTAACAGAGTCAATAGTTCAAAAAAAAGTTTTAAATATAATAATAATAATAATAATAATAATAATAATAATAATAATAATAATAATAATAATAATTTTTCAAGAAAATGGTCAAATAGGCCTCTAAACTTTACTCCAAAAGTCAATTAGATCCTAAACTTTTAAAAAGTGAAATTAAACCCTCAAACATGTCAAATTAGGTCAATGAAGCCCAAAAACCGATAAATGGCATGTTATTACAGGTCATTTCAATTCCGGCGACGAATTCCGGCCACCAGCGACAAAATTCGGTTGTCCGGTCGTCTTCCACCGGAGAAGACGGCACCAGATCTGGTCGTTTTCTCCACTGGAGAAGACGACCGTCCTGTCGTTTTCCACCGGAGAAGATGAGGTCTTGTCGTCTTCCACCGGAGAAGATGACCGGACAACCGTCTTCTCTAGTGGAGAAGACGACCAGATCTGGTGCCGTCTTCTCCAATGGAGAAGACAGCCGTCCGGTTGTCGTCTTCTCCGGTGGAGAAGACGGCCAGATCTGGTGGCCGGTGGCCGGAAGTCGTCGCCGGAACTGAAATGACATGTAATAACAGGTCATTTACCGATTTTTGAGCTTCATTGATCCAATTTAACATGTTTGGGGGTTTAATTGCACTTTTTTAAAATTTAGGGACCTAATTGACCTTTGGGGTAAAGTTTAAAGACTTATTTGACCATTTTCTCTAATTTTTTCTCTTTACTTCCTCCTTTTATAATAATTTTAAATATTATATTATTATTATTATTACTTTTAAAAATGAATAATAAGTCATTATAAGTTAAAATAACACAATTCACTAAGACACTAACCGTCATTCTATATGTTATTAGTTAACAAGTATTTTACTAAGTATCTTTCACAAATAACTAATACTATCAGCTGACCAATTCAACTAACAGCTACTAGCTGATTGAATTAGCCATCAACTAGCCACTATTGTCAAACACTCCCATTATGTTTTGGAATGTTCTCTTAATAACAGCTTGAGTGTCAAAACAATTAAATAGAATTTCATATCACAGGTGATCTTTAGTACATAAATCAGATGGGGAAAACAAAGAAGAAAGAAAATGTAAAATTTTACATAATTGATATTTTTCAGTATATTGGTGGCTTTGTGGATTTAGAAATGTGCATATACATACATACAACCCTAAACATAAAAGAAAAAAAAAAATACAATCTGACCACACCTATGACTACAAAAACCTCTGAACAAAAACTAACCTATATGTTATCTTCCAAAACAATCCCAAAAATTCCAAGCACAAATCCAATAATTATATGCTAGTTTTTGGAGATATAGACACCAAAGTTGTCAGGAAAATTATCCAAAATGGATGCTAAGCCATGAAAGGTGTTCAACTCAAACCACAACCGTTTCGCCGGTTAGCCCATCCTGAAGCTGCACAGACCCATCCTTCATCAGATTAAGGCTGAGGCTCTTGAACCTTTCTCTCGAGTATTGCCGAGATGCCTTTCTCCAATCAGTTCCAGTTTTCATCATTGCAACAAACTCCTCGTAACTAATTTGCCCGTCCTGAAAAAATTGACGATTACCCAATGCACGAACCAAAACTAGTTTTGAAACCATTTATCCATTCAAAAACAAGGAAGATAAGTGTTCAATCTAACCTTATCTGAATCAACTTCTCGCATAATCTCATTCAGTACACTGATGTCACATTCGCCCGATTCATCGGCCAAAGCTTCTCTTAGCTCATCAAGATCAATGTACCCGTTTCCATCTTTGTCAAAAAACAAGAACGCTCTGTGAAAATGCTCGTCATTCTCCATTCTCTGTAGGTGAATTATAACTGCTACAAACTCCCCATAGTCCAGGAGACCATTTCCATCAACATCAGCCTAATCAATATTCAAATCCACCATAAGAGAGACGATTGAAACTAAACGACAACATATCGTCATTTAAATACTCTACATCAATAAATGTGAGTGGCAAAAAAAAAAATGCTTGAAATCTAATAACTGCTGGAGTAGAGGTTTCTGTTGGGCAAATTATACCATGGACCAGGGTCTACCCCTGATCAAAAAATAACCTTGAGATTCTGTATCTATAGTTGACAGATTATGTACCTGTAGCTATCATATTATGTGTCAGAAATTATCAAGTCAGATTCTGTATGTATAGTTGACACATACTGTACCTGCAATTGATAGTTTCTGTACCTATAGCTATCATATTATGTGTCAGCAATTATCAAGTTATTTGTTTACTTGTACAGAAACGGTTAACTGTAGGCACATAATGTGTTAACTGAAAGTACATAATTTTTGTATCAGAATTTACAGTGCAATATGAACCCTGGTTCATGGTATAACAATTATTTTTGTTGGGCGGAGGCCGTTAAAAGGGTCAAGCCCATCAATTGGTGGCTAGGGGGATTGTTGGGTAAAAGGCCAAGTCCAGCACCCTACCTCTCGAAAATGTGATGCCGGTCTAAAATGAAATAAAGTGACGCCTTCGCTATCAACTATAGCTTTTGGCGTAGTGGTAAGCGTTTGATCCTATAAGTTTCCAAGAGCTGAAGCAACCTTATTAGCCTCATAGTGTAAGAGAATGAAGAAGCATGAAGATAGAAATAAAGAGATTACTTCAACATGTTAAGGGAAACAGTGATAGTTACCACTTACCACATCCATCAATAACTTTATCTCGGGCTCTGCCAACTTGGAGCCAACTTTCCGGAGTCCAGCTTTAAGTTCTTCATACGTAACTTTCCCATCACCATCCATGTCCACCATCGTGAACATTTCTCTGATTACTTCTACCTCATCAATGGTTAAGTGTTCTGCAATAACCTATTACACCATTCGAAAAGGAGTTCTTGCTTAAGTACATTGAAATTTTTCAAAGAAACAACAAGTAAAACCCATAATAAGGCGACGATTTGTACCCCAACCCGCTTAGATAATGCATAAACTACACGAGAAATGTTATCATCTTTTCAGCTAGTAAAAGTTTTTCAGGATGTGCTTTATTGAATGTCACAGTCCAGATGAACACTTAATCAAATTGCGAATTTCCTAACACAAACACGTTAGCAGCTTACCCGCAGTGCTTTCTTTTTGAATTTATTCATAAGAGAAAACTGCTTCAGACGTGTCCTGACTACATCGCCCAAAGGAGCATTTGGAGCTTTCTTAGCATTTTGAATCCAAGGGTGGTCTGTAATAAAGAACGAAGTAGCATGGCAATAAAAATTTCGTAATCAGCTCGAGGAAACTTTGCACATTCAAAGAAAGTATGGTAGTCCTTACCAAGTACTTGTTGGGCAGTTAAGCGCTTTTTGGGGTCTGGTTCGAGCATCTGCCTAACAAGACTTCTCGCGCTTTCAGAAACTTGAGGCCACGGTTCTCTCTTGAAATCAATCACTCCCCTCAAAATCGCGAGAGCAACCCCTTGTTCAGTTTCTGCAGCAGAAATGAAATATTCGAGAGTTAAAGAGACGAGAGGAATGAAGCCAACAAAACCAAACCAAAGCAGAATGGCAAAAATGAATACCAGCCCAGAATGGAGGAACCCCACATATCAAAATGTAAAGGATAACCCCAGCACTCCAAATATCAACCTCTGGTCCATAATTCCTCTTCAAAACCTCAGGTGCCATGTAGTATGGACTCCCCACAATCTCAGAAAATTTCTCACCTGAAATCATCAACATTTTTTTAACTTTCAATATTCACTCAATTCTTGAGGATGACACAAGCTTAAAAACAAGTTGATAGGTTCTAACACAACAATTACATTAACCACCTAAAATCAAACAATTTGACCCCAAAACAGAATCTTTGAAAAACCTACTTCAAGAAAATATGCTTAAGGTTGGGAATTCATACAGAACTCAAAGATTAAGACTAATGTA